TTTTTTTTTTTTTTTTTTTTTTTTTTTTTTTTTTTTTTTTTTTTTTTTTTCCTAATTTGCCTTCTTCAAAGGAAGAAGTCCCCTCTAGAGCAAATATGGGCCTACTGTCTCTTCTGACTCTGATTTACCCAAATTCCAAATTCAAACTTTTCATCAATGAGAAAAGGTATTTCTGGTACTAAGTGTAGATGGTACTGTGTAATGCAAGTAGTTTATTTATAGTAACAACATTGCTGCCTCTGTGGACTAAACTGATTATACTTATTTGCTGGTTTACAATTAGAAAAATTTTACATTATGTAATGACTAAGAAGTGCAATACACAAGCAAGCATTTACTCATAGCACCTGTCTTTGTGCGACAATAGTTGTCTATCTACAACTCTGCACTGCACCTGCAGGGATTCCAAACAAAGAGTCTGAAACTCAGTTACAATTCTTTGATTTCTGAAGGAAAACAAGTCACTTGATATTCAAATAAAAAAAAGTGTTCACATAATTTGAAATTGGGGTAGCATGCAGAACACCACCCCCAAACAAATGGCTACCAGGATTTCAGGAGCAGATTCCAGCTGGAAGGAACAGCTAACTGGAGGGTTCAAATCGGTAGGAAAGCAAGAGAACCTCCATCAGCTATTTGCCAATCCTACCATATGGGGCTTGTCAAAGAAAGAAAGTGGAAGGTTGTAGTGTAAATCTGTCTCACTCATTTTCCATTGGTTTAATGTACCTTTGCATGTGAGTTGAAGCAAACTCTTGGCTGTTCTAACTCACATCCAGGCCATATTAGTGCTCTGTTCAACTCCTGATGTCTCCCAGGAACAAAACTTGGCTACTGGGGAATACTGACCTCATAGGCTTGTTTATAATTTATTGTGTTTTCCAGCACAAAGTGGAATGAAACTATTCATTATCACAAATATGGTGAAGAAGTGTTCAGGACTAAGTGCTCCAATTTTTAAACTGTACGGAGAATGTAATTAAACTTGCAAATCCCCTTTCCAATTTGTCTTTTTTTAAAAAATTTCATGTAATCACTTAGTGCCTTTAGTACAGGTACTAAAACAGAATCTAAGGAAGAATCCATAAAAACGCAAACTCTGTTTGAATGCAAACTAGTTCCAGCAGTTGCACTAAGCTGCAATATCATGTGTCCTTTACATCTCATTTATTTTAAAAGTACTACAGAAAATGCTTAGATGGCTTCAAAGATTCTTTTTGCATAGCCTAATTTCCAGCATTTAGTTAGGGTCACCTAACTTGGCAGGTATCACAGGTGAAAAATAAATTCTGAAATTTCCAATCACATAAATAAGAATTACCATTTAGAAACTGCATAAAATAATCTGAATAGATTCCACACAGACATTAAAATTGAATATATCATGATATGACCTCCCTGTAACATTAAAGTCCTTACTTCATAATCTGTAACTTCCCAGACCAAAGATTTCTCCAACCTGAAGAAAAAACCTGGCATGGGAAACAAGGAAATATTTCTCTCTCTAGTGTGTTTGTTTGGTTTTTTTAAAAACTTTTTCTTTAATGACTGTGGACAGCAGCAGCAACAGCATATTTTAAGTACACATAGGAGAGAAAAGTTAGTGAATGAAATATATATGAATAAAACCATATTTGTGATCTTATTAATGTAATTCCTTTGGATCTATTCAAATACACAGGCTAAGATACAGAAACAAATAAAACCCCTCCACATAATGAAATGAAACAGAGTCTGAAAGGAGGTAAAATCAACACATTTTCACCCTGAAACTCTTGTTAGCACCATGGAACAGAGTACTACCAATACTGAAGTGCCTAGGATATTTAGTTACTGGCACATTTTGTCTCCACCACCACATCTGATGCTGTAATAGTCTTGTCTTCATGCCTATCATAACAACAATTAATTTGGAAAAAAAAATACTACTCCATAGGCACTAACATAGATTACCCACTGGTACATTCACAAAACTTCACAGAGAAAGAAGTGGAGGCTTCTCAGTGTGTGTTAAGATGTCACAATCAGAAGTAGCTTGGTTGTATGTCTTGAGTGCTATAACTTTTTGAAACTTTCAAAAGAAGTTTAGAAGAATAATTTGCTAAAAAATGCATACAAAATATCACATAAAACAAGTATGAGCAACCTCAGTTCATTAAGAAATAGTAAGGATAACATTCAGCAAAATGAAATGTACATGCTTGCAATCTTATCTGCATTTGCACATTGTTCAGAATGGATTTTAGAATTTTAAAACTGAGATAAAGAATAGATTAAAAAAAACCACAATAGCAATATAATAAGTTTTCAAAATACCTTTGTTTCTAAGGACTGCATTAAGAAGATCTAATAATAATGACAGGTCTTTAATTACAAACTATTATTATACTGGGCCAAGGTGTCTTCAAAAAAGCAATAAGAAACATGGAAACATAATTCTGCTGTTACGAATTACATATGACTTGAAACTATCATTGTGTCCAAATTGTTTACTTCAAAGCAACTGGCTGCTTCCAGAGGAAACTAGTTTTCTTCAGAATTTAACAGAATCAATCTTCTAGTGCTAAGAAATACTTGATTTTGAGTAGGATTTGGGGTGGCGCATTCCACCTTACACTTGCAAATCGTATCCAACAGAGCACAAAACTAATGCAAAAGGTTTTCAAATACAGATTTACCTGAAAAATCTCCCATATTTCTACTGCTCCGTGAAGCACATTAAAGATATATATTAGGCATAAAGAACAAAATCCTGCAGTTGAGAAGACAGAAATATTTCTGAGCTAAAGGTTAAAGGTCTTCTGAACTACATTACCCATGGTTTTTAGAGCTGAGGAACTTAACCCATGTTAAAAAACAGACTTGTGTGAGCACGATTCAGTTGAGAATTTTTACTTTTTATATTAATTTATCAGGGTAGCCTAACATCATCCCACAACCTCCTTCAATGTTCAAGAATTGCTAAGAGGAAGCTGATGAATGCAGGAGGTGACCTACAGTAGCCTGCAGAGCAGATCTGGGCAGCACTGATGTGCTTTACAACATCGTGAGGATGCTACACATCATTTAATGGAAACATTGTTTCAAGTTACTTCAACACTGAGTACTCTGTAGACACCTCCACAGTGTCAGCTTTCTAGCATGTGAAATAAGCATGGAGGACTTTCCTTCTCTCAGAAGGATACTGTAAATTATGACAACTAAGTTTCCAAAGCACTTTGAGATCCCTTGTATAAAGGTGCTGGATAAATGAGAAAGATCCTTCTGTATACTTAATCTTTTTTTCCATAGTACAACTCAGATCTTACTTTGCTTCCAGTGCCAGGGCAATGATGCCTGCAGCCATAGGTGCAGAGGCTGAAGTTCCAGTATGGCTGTCTGTGCAACGCTGCCTCAGGTCTGTGGTGATCTGGAAGAAATTGAATGGGTGAAATTTAGAACACAACTTCAGAAATCAGATAAGCTTTTATTTGCTTGAATGAGTCACATGTATGTGGAGGGTATTTTCTTCTTTCATTGCAAGGAAAGGAAAAAAAAGAGGTGTCTGAATATATGATGCTACATGTTCTCAGCTTGAAGCCATTTGTGAAGTCAGAGAAGTGTTCTCTATATTGTTCTGAAAACATATGTTAGGCCCTGTTTTTTTCATGGCATGCTCAATAAAGAGACTTTTAAACTAGAAAAACATGCAGAGGGGTTTGAATCTGCACAGTTAGAACTCTGCCTCTCTTGGATTTGTAGAACACTTCAAGAATCTCAAAGTGCTTTACAAACAAGAATGAACTAAATCTTACAGTGCTCCCTACATACAGACTGCTTATGCCCATTTCAGAGACTATAAAAGAGGTATGGAGGTCAATTAGGTTGCCAGAAGTCACACTGGAAATAAGCGACAGAAGCGAATACAGTTGGGCTCATGCTAAGTACCGCGTTTAATCATTCCTTCATGCCTTATGCAATAAATCACATGAAACTAACCAGTAATTAATTGGAAAATCTTGGTGGTAATCACGAATTTGGCCCAGCCATCACCAGCCAATTAGATCTTTTCATTTTTTAATTGTTACATATTACGTATAAATAATTATATGCTGCCATGTATTTTTGTATGTAATCTAAGTGGATGTCTACACTGTGATGTGTAATACTAACTAGAGGCATAGTCTTCCACTGAAGTGTTAGGATGCTTCTATCTAATAATGAATTTTATACAGATTCTTTCTGTCAGACAGTAAATCAGAACCTAAAATGTGTTTAAATCCTGCTTCTTTTATGGAAACGGTAATCTAAAGTGATTCTACTCTATGCTTGTCTTCCTGAACTAGTGGTTCCTAGCAAGGGCAATGCAGCAGAAGAAAGGGCAACTACTACCTAACAGAAGCTCAAGCAAATCCCACACAGACTTGAGAACAGTCGTTAGAAGACAGCAGTCCACAGCATGGAAACCTCCACGAAGGTATGAGAGTGAACAACCTGTGACACCAAACCTTATTCTCAGAATTTCAGTCACTGCAAGATGTAAAATATCTGCCTGAGGGGCAGAGGAGAGGTTGCTTACACAGCTTCTTATCTAAGCATACAGAATTATTGTGTCCTAATTTACTAGTATGCTCCGTTTCCAATATGGATATGCACAAAGATGGGAGAGGATTGGAGGATCAAAAAAAACCAAAAAAAAAGCACTGGGCATGTGAAAACGCCTTCCAGCTTTGAAACCTCACGATACACAAAATATGATCTGAAAAATGAGCTACATCCTGTCTTGGCAGAATATAAGCAAATGCACGTTGGAGGCATAGGTTCCACACTTTACATTGGCCATATTCAGTAAGATACATATTACATAATTCGTATATGGCTGCTGAAAATTCTTACAAAATTTAAGCACATGCAAGCTAACACAAAAGAGCTCTCTAATAGAGAAGGAGCTAACAGCAGTAAGGAAATGATTGTTGAAAATGAGTAGTGAGCAACTGAAAGAAAATGCAAGTTTCTAGAAATTGAAAAAGACAGATTAAAGCATTTATAATGTCAGATCCTTAAATCAGTGAACTTGTCAGAGGCCAGATTTCTTGACTAATGAAGTCTAGAAAAAACCTTTTTTCCCCCTATTATTTAATATTCTTCATCATGAATTCTTTATCCGTCATCAGCTAAAAGTTGGAACCTCATAAAGAAAATATTCATATAACTTCATTATCTCCTGCCTTCTTGCCTTTTGAATGTGTATTAATTTAGACAATGAAAATTAAGAGTGTTGGGAAAAGCCTTATCCATGCAAATTCCATAAATGCCCTGACAACATTAAGAGATGGAACTGCAGCAGGAACAGCCCTAACAATGAACTGCCTATATGTACAAATGCAAGTAGTGTTTTTGCAGGTGGGATTGACATGTCCAAGAAACAGAGGATGACAAGCACCCATACAGAGATATATGTGATTTAGGCATCCCATCTGGAAAAAGAGTGGCCAGTCATGGTGAGGAGCAGAAGCAAAGCCAGGAAAAAGAGAGGGCAGAAAAAGGATTAACACATGTTTGTGTCTTCTGTATCTTGTTCCCTGCATAAAAGTGGTGCAGCAGGTGCTTTCCTTGGAGGATTAAGGGTAGTAAAGCCTACAGGACCTCAGGCAGCTTTTCCCTAAGGGACAGCCTTTCTCACTACAGTGAAACACATACCAAATTTTGCTATCTTCTTTTCTCGTCCTCTGGGAGGGCATCCTTCCAGAGTGATTTTGCTATCCTGTAGCTACAGATATCAAGCACAATAATTCACGGTATCTCGTTATTTGGTAACATTTTCCCTTATGTTCTAAACAGATGCTGTGGCGGCAATTCAAACTATAGGCCCTTATCTTTTTTTCAGCAAGTATTGCAGCAGAAAACAGGTAGAGAAAGCTTTGTAAGCAGAAATCCCATTTGACCTATTTCAAAGGAAAGTTACTGAAAGGAGCTGAGATGTTTGGATGTAAATTACCTCCCAGATCCAAGACATGTTTTTCAGCACTGTGGATTCACTGTCAGAGAACTGCTGCATTCATCCCAAGAAAAGTGAGTATTGGACCACCAACAGGTGAGCAAGTTTCAAGAAGAAAAATGGTGCTCCAAATTCCCAAACAACATGAGAGCAATATTATTAACCTCAATAATATGATGTGGTGTTTGACATCACCATGAAGCTGTCATTAGTGTGTATTAGTGGTCATTCTGATCAACAGGGTGGGTAGAAGGAGAAATTTTTTAATCTTTTGTTGAGTATAACACGTGTGTATGCTTGAAGTACCTTCGTAACAATTGCTGATCAGGGAAAATAATGATTAAACTGTCCAAGAAAATCCATGCAGTATTTCTAGGGGCATGAGTTTTAACCACTTCTAAATCAGTTGAATCATCCAGGTTTCACTGAAGACAATGACAATGTTTCTGGTACTGCCTAGTTTAATCAACATGAAATTAACAACCTTGGACAGACATGCTGATGAAAGGAAGACAAAAATTATATGAATCATCACAATGCACTGTAATACCTCCCATATGCAGTAGAACAAAGCTTTCAGAAAAACTAGACATTTATTAAAGGAAAAACTCTAGACAATGTAATGGTTTTATAGAAGTAACTTGATCTGAAGAACTAAGGAGATGCCACTTCTGTACAGTCATTATTAAGGCTGCATCATCACTCTTTCCATAGTTTCACTGACTGAGAGGTTAATAACAAAGGTCAAAAATGGGATTTCCTCTAGCAGAGAACATGCCCATTTTCCCCCCCAAGACTCTGCATTTCTTACTATTTCCTATGTCATGACATGAGTTTTTCGATCCAATTGAATAATCTTTTACCTTCTGCTTCAAGTTCTTCCAGACATAATGATTTCTATGAATCTGTGTCCCTAGAAGTGAAAAAGGCTTTAACAAAAATGTACTTACTGCTCATCCTACATAGCTTGTGTATCCATATGTACCTAAGACTGAAGGAGCCTCATGGTATCCTGTGTATATCCTGTGCATACCTTGATAACCTGAGTGAGTTTCTGAAGGAGAGCAGGCTTTTGTATTTTAAGAACTGGCAAGAAATTGGTTTGGCTTTTTCATTGTTTCAGTTTTGAGTTCTGCTTAGAGTAGTGGTTAGTAAGCAAGCAGAAAAGGAAGAAAACCAGCAGATGAATTGGCATTTATCGCAAAACAACAAAACAGGTGGACAGGTTATTTTCAGCAGTTAAGTAATATAATAGGCTTAGGAATTATATCTGTGAGGGACTTTCATATGCAAAATTCTTAGTGCTTAAGGAAATAATTTGAAAAAGGGATTCAAAGGAAATGCATTTGTGCAATATGTTTGATAAGTGAAAGAACCATATAAATAACTATATTAAGTGGTACTTAACCTATCCTAGCAACGCGGTCTGGAGTGGGAAAGCTATCTTCCAGCATTGTCCTATGGTATTCTAAGTGGCAGAGAAAAGAATAATAGGAAAAATACCTTGACAACTGTATATTATTAGCCAATACTTCTGCACTCACTGAGTCATGAAAAATAACATCTATAAAGAAGTATAATTTTATAGTCTTTACCTGCTGTTGATTTGCTTTTGTCCCACAATGTGAGTTTCTACACCTATATCTATGCCAGCACTTGGCAGCTGCACTTGAAAACACTCAAAAGTAACTTCAATTCTTTTCTCTCAGAGTCTATGTAAAAGGCACACATATATCTGCATCTTTGAAATGGTTGTATGCTTTGGGCTTTTCAATACATAGAAAGGGTGGAAACTTGGTCCATAAGGGGCTAATCGTTACTGCAATAAAATTCAGTGCAGTAAAGTGTGCTTGGAGCACCTTCCCTGAACAACTAGGAACTCTTGCAAGATGGTATCATCAGTGTGTGTTTAACTGTAATTGTTAGCTTAAAGTATCTCAAGCTATCATCGCAGAAGACAAAATTAGAACTCCAGACTAGTAAAACTTCCAAAATTACATCCTATATTTGTAGCAAGCAATTATCAAAAACAGGTAGCAATGAAAAAAGAAAAAAACTCTTCTGCGTGGTTATAAAAGCGTGGGTGATCTGTTAGTCCATATTAAAGTCAAATATTTTTTGTAAGAATTTTTAGTCCACACAATGAGTTCCCAATGGTTGCTCACTATTTGTTCATTTACCTTATAATACATTGGGCACATAGAATCAGATCAGATGGGTTGGAAAGCACCTCTGTGATCATCAAGTATTGGATAGAACAACAGAGAAGGGAAAACCAGAAAGATATTCAACTAAAGAACTGCAAGGAAAGACAAGAAAGAACTGTGGAACATGACACTACACAACCATAACCATTTACTGTCCCTCAATCTTGCACAGGTATTTCTGTACTATGACACCACACAATCTCACACGATATTGGAGTTTGTTCTGAGTTACATGACAACAAACAAACAAAAACCACAAAAAAAACCCCTGACTTCCCACAGACATCTGTTGATACCATTAGTATTTGTACAAATGAACACATTCAATATACCTTCCAGTATTCAACATACTAATCCTTTTAACTCACAGACACAGTGCTTTTGTTACTCAGTACTACCTGACTCGTGTGTCCAGTCTGGATGCTCAAAGTTCATAATATGAGAGAGTTTATAAGAAAACATATCTTACATAGAATAATGCAAGACACTTACCTTCAGCTACTAAAAGTGATTTGTTGTTCAGGCTACATGGGCAGAGAGAAGACAGTAGACAACTGGAGTGCTACTTTTCATACTAGCGATAAAATCAGTGACACTAAATGCTAAAAAATCAAAGTTGGAGGAGCTCAGAGAACAAATAAGAATTTTTTTAATGGCAATGGGTAATTCAAACCACTTGCCCTAAACTGAAGTGGATTTTCTGTCACTGAAAACTTTGAAAGCAAGATTCATTGTATTTGTGAAAATTATTGTGGAGTTGACAGCAATTGCTGGATTTGACGGACTCAGGGAAGTCCTACAGACCTGGCTAAGTAAGAGCTCAGGGTGGAGGAATACAATCACATCAGTTCACCTTATACCGTATTACTAACATTTAAACTTGTGAAGGGAATTTAATCACAGAAGTGAGAACTCATAGGAGACACAGTACATTTTTTTTTAATTATTATTATTTATCAGGGACAATAAATAATGTGCCAGGAAGAGAGAGTTAAGATTTCAGTGAAGAGAAGCAAGTAATGAACAGAAAAATTACTGGAATGAAGAAGTACCTCAGAACAAGTTTAAAACAAAAATTAGATAATCTGAAAACAAAGAAGGATCCAAGAACAGATGGCCAGCATCCAGAATCCTTGAAAGACAAGGCAAACATTATTAACAAAATAAAGTGGCAAATATTTTTAACCCTTCACTGACATCAAGAGAGAGATCTGCTAAGGACCAGAAAAAAGGCAATGCTGGATGAGTACTTAAGAAAACCTATGGGGAAAAAAAACCCCTTCAAGTCCCTCAATCTTCTGAAGTAATTAGTTCTGTAAGTTAAACAATAGAATAAATAAGCAGGGAAGAGGTAAACATTAGCAAACCCCATTCACCTCATTACAAGGGTTTAGAAGGTTAAAAGGTTTAGTATGTTGAATACTGGAAAGTATACTGAATGAGCTCATTTTGCAAAGGCAGATACAGTGTACAAATACTAATGGTATCAACAGATTATCAAAAAGAATTAAAACAATTTGCCATTTTCCAGCAAAGATAAGTACATTAGGGAAAAGGGATGCTGGCTGCTTAGGAGTGAGATGCAGAACAATACAGGAAAGATGAGCACTGAGTTTAATTTTCCTTACAATATATTTTTGCCAGAATAGACAGCAATATGAGTAATTTACCATCACTGAAAGTAAAAGAGGAATGATGCTGGATCAAATTAAATCTGAGAAAATAGAGGGGTATGTAGACAAACTGTTAATATCATGAGTGTAAAATCTGAAAACTACTGATTACTGGATTTAAAAAAACCCAGAGGATATTATTACAAATTATTTCTCTTTCTCTCTCTCCCTCCAAAGTCACTGGACAAACACAAACACATACACATTAAAGAAAATAATTAAACCCCATACTATTTTCCTGTCATAGGATTCCCCGCTGCTATATGTTGTAGCCAGTGTGGATGCGCATTCTTCCAGATACCAGGGCTTCTTCCCACTTTCAGCTGTGCTGCTTATTGAAATAGTGTAGATGCTATTGGTGTAGCCATCACAGGAGCAGTGGTCTCGACTTCTTCCACCATTTCCAGATGCCCAAACAAAAACCGAACCTAAGCCTCTTCGACCCTGTTTGGAAACAGTAAAAAAGATTTGATCAGTAATTCTTCTTTTCCCCCTCAACTGCTTAATAGACAGGTCTTTTCCCCCCAAAAGGCATCTCATGAGAAAAAGAAAATAAGCAATTTCACTGAGAAGAATCTGAATTCAAAACAGGATTTAGCAGAGTTCAGAATCACACATTAGAAAAATTCAGAAAATCAGTGGTATGAACACAGCTTTACAAGCAACTTTTATACAGTCTTTGTTGGTCTGCATCTATGCTATCCCAATGTACCAAGAAAGAGGTGCTGAAAACTCAGATTAGAATATCATACTTGTGTTGCAAAAAGGAAAATAAATAACATACTTGAAACAAAACCTCTTCATAATGTATGATACTTCTTATCTATGAGGATGTTCTCAGCTGTTTCTTCTTGGGTTGCCTGAGGCACTAAGTATTTTTCGGGTAATATTATATACTGTGAATCACAGCACCATTTTTTCACACACACTATAAATCACAGAATCATAGAACACCTGAGGTGGGAAGGGACCTCAGGTGCCTAGTCCAACCCACCTAGTCCATTACAACTGCTAAATGTACAATACAACATAAAAAAAATACGGACAAAAATAATTCTTATAAATCTACTCTAATGAAGCACTAGATCATTAGTTCAGCATGTTATTTCAAACATATGACTAGCTGGACAAGTTAATTAGGCATATTCATAATGTAAACCAGGTAACCTCCCCTTGACATTTTCTTAATATACAAAGTTATATCGTGCCCAAATGAATCAAAACATTTTAGTGGTGCTAATGCTCTTACACAGGTATTGACATGAAAAGTGAAGGCAATCAGTAACGTGTATTGTTGATATAAGAGAATTGATACATGGTTAGTTAGGTTTTTCCTTAGTTATATTTACATATTTCATGCTAGGAATGAAATTCAGATTGATGTAACTGTATGATTAATTATCAGCACTAAGGTATTTTTGATTAAGCTAAATAGTGTCACCCTTTCTTACGAGACACTCTTGCAAAGCATGATACATCTACAAGTATGCTAACAGTCTCACCTATACCTCATGTGCTTTCAACTCATCACGTTGCATTTGCCTGGCTTTTGGGTGAGCCAACCACCATGGGCCCATGACAAAATACTGCATAAAACAACTTTCTGCACAAATCAGAGACTCATTCAATCTAAATGCTCAGAGGGGTTTAGCTAGGGCTTTGTGTGCTAAGCATAAGAACCTATATTAATGTAAGACAAAAAACTGTCACACTTAACAGTCCAGGCTCAAGTTCTCAAACACAGATGAATTTATTAATCTATTATTAAGGTCTCCATTAAGGGACATTAAGGATTTACTAGTCCCAGCTCCCCTCCAGAGGACAGAGACATCTTTCACTAGACCAGGTTGCTCAGAGCCCTATCCATTCTGGCCTTGAACACTTCCATGGACGGGATGTCCACAACTTCTCTGGACTACCTGTTCAGAGCCTCACCCCCATCACGGTAAAGAATTTTTTCTTAATATTTAATCTAAACCTACTCTATTTCAGTTTGAAGCCATTCCACCTTGTCCTGTCACTACATGCTCTTCTAAAAAGTCTCTCTTCATTTTTCTTATGGGTTCTCTTCAGGCTGCAATTAGGTCACCTCCTCTTTTTCAGACTGAACAAAACCACTTTTCTCAGCTTTTCCTCAGAGGAGACGTGCTTCATCCCTCTAATCAGCTTGGTGGCCTTCGCCTCGGACTTGCTCCAACAGGTCAACGTCCTTCCTGTGCTGGGGACCTAGAGCTGAATAAAGCACTCCAGGTGGGGCTTCACTAGAGTGGAGGAGAGGAATAGAATCACCTCTCTTGACCTGCTGGCCACACTGCTGTTTATGCAGCCCAGGATACAGTTGGTTTTCTGGGCTGCAAGTGCACACTGGTGGCTCATGTTCAGCCTCTCAACCACCTGTATCCCCAAGTCCTTCTTAGCAGGGTTGCTTTCAATCTGTTCATCTCCCAGCCTGTATTGACATGCTGCACACTGACCCAGGTGCAGCACCTTGCAATTGGTCTTATTAAACCTCTTGACATTCCCACTCGCCCATTTCTTGAGCTTGTCCAGGTCCCTCTGGATGGCATCCTGTCCTTCAGGTGTTTCAACTGTACCGCTCAGCTTGGTGCCATTTGCACATATGCTGAAGGTGCACTTGATCCCTCCATTTATGTCTTATAATGAATAACACTGGTCCCAACATATAAGGACCCCTGAGGAACACCGCTTGTCACTGATGTCCATCATGACTCTGAGTTGTTGACCACTATCCTCCGAATGTGACTGTCCAACCACCTTCTTATCCATCTAACAGTCCAGTTGCCAAATCCATTTGTCTCCAGTCTAGACGGAAGGATGCTCTGGGGGACCAGGTCAAAGGCTTTACAGGAGTCTGGTAAATAACATCTGTAATCCTTCCTTCGTCCCTGATGTAGTCATAGGTGGTCATGAATCATCTCCCTGCCCTTAGCTTTGCTTCTAGGAGGATCTGTTCCATAATCTTCTCAGGCACAGAGGTTGAGGTTGACAGGTTGGTAGTTCCAAGAGTCCTCCTTTCTACCCTTTTTAAAGATGGGTACAGTGTTTCCCTTTTTCCAGTCACGTGGGCCTTCACCTGACTGCTACGACTTTTCAAATATCATGGAGATAATTTGTGAGGTTAGTGGAAGTATAATACCTGGAGAGACTCATGTCTCCAGCAAAATAAGGTAAATAGCAACTTCTCCTGGTTACTATTTACATAAGGTTATGTCTCTAAAATGCAAATTTTCATGAAAAAAACATTTCAAACAGCGAAAAAAATCCCAAAATGTCAAGTTATACATACTATGACATCCACATTCTCCAGACAAAATCAATTTGAATATTTCATTGTTTTTTATTTCCTTTAGTTGTCTTGGCTACTGCACCAACAAAAGATGCAAAAAAGCAACACTTTTTGCAATTTTTTCTTTTTTTTTTTTTTTAACGACAACCTTGATTATGAACTCTTATCAAATCAGAACCCCCTTTCCATCTGGAGTTCTCCCTGCTTTCTCCAGCTAGTAGGGTCCAAATCTGAGCCTCCCAAAGCCAGTGGGATGTGATCTCCAAATGTATGGGACTCTTTTACGAACCACTTTTCTTTCATTTTACAAGCAGGTCATACCCCTTGGCAAATATCACACCTCCATTCTGAAAACATTTGCTGAGACAGACTAAAGGAAGGGCAAATGGAAAAATTATTTCATGCATATTCACCAATTTATTACACCAGCAGGTGAGGGAGACAGAAGACAGACCTCTCTGGATGTTTGTGGGGAATAGGATGGAGGATTACCCTAATAATACACTGGTTCATTACTTTTTGATGTGATCCTGCTTGATTTTTACTGGTTTTGTTTTGGTTCCATCCCATCACCTCTTGATATTTGATCATGCTTCCCAGCAGTATGCAATTATTTGCTTTCATCTTCCTTCTCCTCAATGGAAATGGTAATTTTTGGCGTGCCCATCAATTCTTACATCTGTTTCAAAGTCATGTACAGATTTCTGTCTGGTCCCTTAAAAACCAACTTTCTCCTACATATGCCCCACCCAAAAAAAAAAAAAAAAAAAGTATATATACCATATGTATACATACAGCCACACTGTTACCTCCAGAACATGTCAAAATATTCCAATAAACCCTTTTTAAACGAATTTTCAGAAGTGTCTGCTATTTGGAGATTTTTATACATTTTTACTTTTTTTTTTTCTTCACATGCATGTCTTGAAAGTAGTATTATGTAATTGCATTTGGCCAAATCAATACCCCATGGGAAATTCAGAAAAACTAATACAACCAAGAGAGAAGAAATGAGAATTCAGGGTAATCCAAGCCCAAATTCCACTTTTTTAAAAAAAGAAAGGTTTTGTAAAAGTAGTTATCAAAAAGATATTCATACAGAAAAATATCCTACCAATAACAGTCCATCTGTCATTTTTCTGCTATCACCATCAGCTGGTTCTGTATGCAAACAGCAATATAACATGACTTACCCCATTCATGTCATGAAAGTCTTTTCACTGAAGGATATAACTCTACTTTGTGAAAATTTTGGGAGATGTCTGAATAGAAAATGTGTTTCTATTTCTTTAGATGCACTCTTATGCTGCTGTGAGAATAGTGAACAATGAACTGTAGAAACAGGTAAGTGAATTGGCCACAAAATATAGTCCTGATGAAAACATGCCCATGGATCTTGGAAATTCTGCGATTCAGTATTTAAAAACAATAAACATCTATTTAGATTTTAATAGCAATGGCAGGGCTTTAAAAATAACAGCCATGTGCACACAAATTTACCTTCTCATGCTAATTTCTTTGGTAAACAAATTTAAAAACTTTAAAACTAATGTGTCCTGCAAATATGTAAAGGATCAATGTCTCTTTTATTGCAATAAAAAGAAAATACTAGGTGCACTGACTAATGGAAATTAGTATTTTCTAATACATACAGAGAAAGAATTCCCAGTCCTCTAATGCACTGCAATATTGCACATATAACACCTCAGCAGTTCACAGAAAACAACAGCACTGCCTTCAGAGTAGAAAATATGCTAAAGGTCTTGTTCCTACAAGCTATTTGTCAAAGCAAATGGCAGCCTTAAAAATAACACTTGCGTTCAAGAAGCGTCTGGATTTGGCGCAGGGTGATATGGTTTACAGGTTACAGTGGTAGCGGTAGGTGGACAGTTGGACTGGATGATTTTGAGGGTCTCTTCCTGGTGCCTTAAAAGCTACGATTTCAGTATAACTCCTTTAGCACTTTTAGCAGTACTTTAGCTAAGTACCTTCGTATTAGATTTCTGAAATATTATTTAATATTTCTTGTCAAGAATTCCAATGGACAAAGATTGTAGGAAGGTAAAGAATATTTTATCTATATAAAATGTTCTTAGAATAAGACATAACAGGCATATCGCCTGATCTAAGAGAGTCA